ACAGTTGCTCCTCATGAGGAGTCTGCAAGGCAGCAGTCTCTGGAGGATGGGAGAAATGGGAGACAAGGCAATTTGCCATTCTTGCTCCACCTGCAGACAGCCTTAAAAGGACATAGGTACGCACTTCCTTTGTAACCACCTTCAGAAATTGCCTATTAACTGCTTTAAAGAATTTAGACACCTTCAAAATGACAAGGCTGAAAACACTGGGTGAGTGCCTTCAATCCTTAATATAAGAAAATAAAACTGTATCTTTATAAATTTTAAGAATTCAAAATAAGCAGCAAAAAGCAAGACAAGTTTTTGGCTATAGAAAGTTTTAAACCAATTAAGACCTCAGAAAAAGTTGGAATATTTGATTTTGAATATTAAGACATTGAAATTAATTTTAAAGAATAAATGCATTTTCGTTGGAAAGAAATTATTTTTGATACTGGAGACAAAGATAATCAACTTATAATGGTATTCAGAGATATTGTTGAGAAATGGCAATGGGACTTTGAATCAACAATGCCAGCTATGTTGTATGTTTTTATGAACACCCTGTTCCCAGAAGCTGTTACATCAGAAGATGCTGTTACAGAAAAAGATTTGGAACAAAACTTATCTGACACGATTATGGAGAACAGTGTGAACAAGTATTTATCACTGGATATACAAAAAAAAAAAAAAAATTGGATGAGGCTCTAAACATTAAGAAGGAAATAAAAATGCCAATTCAAGAGAGTAATTGGAATACTTTCTTCCTTCTGGACGTACAAAAGAGGCTTGTTAAAGTTTTGAAGAAATTTGAGACAAGGGATAATGATTATTCAAATGGATTAAGGAAGGAACATAATGTTGGCTTATTTGATCAGGATTAAAATGGGATATGTTGTTATTTTGGGGGGTTCTTTCTGGACTTTCTGACATCAGGACTGGAAAAGATGCGTCTTTCTTACAGTTAAGAGGTGAGATATGGAATGATGAGTTTAATATTTGTTAACGAATGTGATTATTTTAGGGCTCTGTTTGGACTTTTTGCTGACACCTGGATTGGAAAAGATGTTGTTTACTGGACTTGCCGACAGTTAAGAGTTGAGTTATGGGATGAAGAGTTTTATTTTTGTTAACTAAGAGGAGGTGAAGAGATAGTGAAACTGTTTATACTTGTTGTGATGAGGGTAGGAAGTCACTTTCTTAGGGTTTTTTTCCTTTCCTTTTTTCTTTTTTGCTTTCTTGCACCTTTTATTCTTTTTTTCTATTTTTTGTTTTCTTTTTAGTTTGTATTATATTTTATTATTGTAGTTAAAACTTTTAATAAAAATATTATTTTTAAAAAAACCATCACTCAACTTCAAGGCCATGAAGAAGAGCCCATTAGAATATGGAAAGACAGGAAGAAGGAGCAACATGTCTAAATTGCCAAGGATATAAATGGGAATGGTTCTGTCTTGCTGATGATCAGCTACTCAGTGAGGCATCACCCTAGTTGCAAGATATAAAGTTCTTATATAGGGTACTGTGCAGTGTCCTGGGTCTGAGAGACTTCAGCAGAGACCAATGCAAGCAGCAAGCTAAGCCACGTAAAGTCACAATACAGATTTACTGCAGAGTCTCAGTCTGGGAAGCTTGACACCACTCCTACTATTTCTACCATCTGGTATTTAGAGACTTTTCATCCCAGCATTCCTGTTGTATTATGTCATAGTAAGGCTTTTTAGCTATTATTGTTATGTCATATGTAGAAATTTTAGCTGCTAAGTACTCTGGAACTTGTACATACAATACTTGCATATTGAAATAGAAGAGTCAGGCAAAAAACACAATTCATGTCATTTTCCAGAAAACCAGTAAGGAGCCTTAACATGTTTGAGAAAATTCAAAATGGGGAAAGTTGTTCCTTACAGAACAAAAGTTACCTAGAAATTAACCCACAGTTCTAATCAAAGTGCCTGATTTCCCTTGATGCAGTATAACTGTTAGGTATAAAAATGCTTCAGCTCAAAAGTAGGACAAATGTTTGCATGCACAAAAGTCCATAATTTACACGCAACTTTATTCCTTGGCATGTCCAAGTGAAGAAGTATTGGGCCTGGAGATGGATTCTCTAATGAATTCTTGAAAAGTTGCTGTCAACCCAAGGCTCAGAAGATCAAAAGTCTGACTCAGTATAAGGCAACTTCACAAGTGTAGTTCAGCATAAGTAGACCAAGTTTAGAAGAACAAGTCAAAAGAAACTGAGCTTCTGATTTCCATGTTTTCCTGACAGTATTTTTCCCCTTGCTCTCCACCCCTAAAAAACTTCCAAGTGTTAATTATCTGAATAATCTCAAAACATAAAAAACATGGTATGCAGTTTAGCCTAGCTCTTGGTTATAGATAGAATCAAGCTCTTTAAGTATTCCTACCTAATTTCTGGATTTTTTTTTCTTCCCCAAGCAAAGGGTGAAAAGAAGAATGAAAGGTACATGGTTTGTCAAATGGATTAAATCAAGAGGGATGGTAACCTGGCACACTGCCTCATGTACAATTATCAAGAAATATGACCCCATGGAAATGTGTACACGTGGAAGGCCTCAAACAATGAACGGATTTAGGATTATATAAATCACAATAGTCTGTAGTATAATCACATGAGAGAACAAACCTGCAAAGCTTATTATACTGAATACCCAGATGGAGAACAACAGTTGTTGCTGTACTAAGAATTACCACTCTTGTAATCAATAACAAGAAAAAAAGAACAGTTGGGCAACTTGTTTCTTATTATGTTCACTTAGGCAACGTCTAGATCAATAAAGAGCATTAAGTCTCATACCTCTCTTGGCTGTGCATACTCAATTCGCCCAGTGTATACTGAGGAGGGATTTGGTGGTACATTCACATTCTTTAGCAAATAAATGTGCATATCATTTGCAGAGTCATTACTTAAATGCCAAATGAATCTTTACAGTCTTACAAAGATTGGAAGAAAAGCTTCACTAAAGCAGCATATACATTTTAAATTGTTTGACTACAGGTTATTGTATAGTAAGCTACATTTTATCTTTAAGAAAGGAAAAAACATAACCAGAGTGGTATAGGGTTATTATGCATGAGTATGTCCACTAAGATTTAAGCCAAAGGTAGTTTTGGAGTGAAAAATGTTATTCCTCATCTACTTGTTGAAACCAAAGGCATTTCAAGATTGGCAAGCTACCTTCCTGGTAGATACCCGATCAATCATTTCATTGTGGTGAAGGCAACAACCAAGCTAGATCAACTATATATCAACTAGTTACCACTTATATCTTGGTAATATTTATTTATTTATTTATTTATTTATTTATTTATTTATTTATTACTTGTAAAAGATAAGTATGCAATAGCTTAGGTCAAGCATCCTTCCTATGCACTTTGGAGAGAGGCAACATGTGAATTGAAGTGTATTTCCTAACATCACCTGAATAAAAATGAGATCTAAAAAAACATGAGATCCAAAGAGATCTTAACTCTTTCATCATGTTTATGTATTCAGACTTGCTTCTGTGAAAAGCAAATAGCTACTATGTTCCACACAAACTATACATATATTGTGAGCCGCACAACAGCATGGTATAGCATAACAGAGCATAACAACAAAAGGGGGAAAAACTTAACAGGATGAGAAGAATGCAGTTCTTTTAGGCAGTATCTGCTGTCTCACTCTCACAGCAGCCAGACAGAATTTGGCTACATGTAAGCAACAGTGCTCTTATAGGGTACCAGGAGAAGGAAGGCATACCAAACATCATCTCTGCCTGGGTGTTTTTTTATGAGGAACCTAATTAACTTATCACATAAGTCTCTGTAGAAACTGCAGTACAACAGGACGTGTTGCCCATCCTCTGCAGTATGGGAGTCACATGGGCAGAGGGCTTCATAGAAAGGAATCTTTTGATATTTACCATCAATAACTGCTGAGGGCAATGCATCAAACCTAGCTAGGGCAAATGCTCTGCAATGTCTATAATTTGTTAAGGACTGGCAGAAATCAGATGGCTTAGTAACAAAGGCAAGACTTCAAGACTTAGGTTGCCTTGGTATCATGCTAATGTCTTGATGCAATCCTATAACAAGAATTTTCTCCTTCAATGTTCATTTTGCTTGATTATCCCATTTTCCGCATTGCCTAACTAGAGAAGTTGTGTACTGCCAATATTTCTCTATCTTTCAGGTAGATTGGAAGTTATCCTTGTTAATCAGGGAGACCAGCCCCCCTCCCCCAGGATAAACATTAACCCACAACAGATTAAACACTTCGTAGAGAAGGGACTTTCTTCCTACTAGGACTATCTCCAAATGGAATAAATCCAAGTAATGAATTAATAAGTAGATTAAACAAATTTGAGTGAAATAATATTGCTGGAGCAAAAGTGTTTACCAAGTTCAGGTCATTCATGTACACAGCATACCAGGCATTATATTAGGGTAGTTATTCCTCCTATATGAAAGATATCACTTCAAGATAATGCTAGTCATCTGTTTTTCTAAACTGCATGTATTAAAATAATATTTAAAAACAGGAATCAAACTAATTAATGGATTTAACATATCAAATATTTAATTCCTACTTTTCATTATCTCTGTGCTGTAAAAAAAAACCCTCTTAAACTGGATGCTTGAAAAGCAGTTTTGTAGATATGTCTCTAAAATAAACTAGTGGACTACAAAGTAAACATAAATAATTATCTCCTGGAGTTACAGTTAATGCTGTGTATACAAAAAAAAAAATCCATCTGACCATACTATTTGGTAAAGGGCTAAAGAATACACAGACAAACAAATAAACAGAGGCGGGGGGTTGTTTGAGATAATGTTGATTCTGCAATCTGGTGACATTAATTTAGCATAAATAAGTCCCCTAAGGAATTCTGTTACTTAATGATCATATTGAGATTTTGACTAAATTAGTGACATCTATTAAATAAAGCACTCCTTAGGAATGTGATAATTATACTAGAACATATTGATTCAGGTTTTATTAACTCTGTTCCTAATGTAACATAGCATCTATTGCCAAAGCTAATGTTGTTTCATAATTTCATCGTTCCAGAAAAAAACACACACTGAGAACCAGTTGGTTACAGTGGTTAAGATGTTGGACTAGCATTGGGGAGACTCAGCTTCAACTCAACCTTCAGCCATGGAAATTCATTTGGTGACATTCAGCCAGTCGCTCTCTTTAACGCCATCTTGAACTCCTGGAATAATACTGGAGTAATAACAATCTAACAAATAAATAAATATTTCAGGTGGGAAAACTGATCATTTCCAAATTAGGTCACATTAAAAGTAGATAGGTAATGAGAAAAAAATCAAGTATAGTATATCGCTAAAAGTCTCTTACCAAGACAGGATTCATTATATAATAGTTTCTGTAAAAGCAAGTACAAAAAAAGAATGAGGAATTCCTACCAATTCCAATAAAGATTGCTTTGTAATCATCATCCTTTAAAGCGCTGAGTGTCAGTCCTTCCACTGAAAGGCCTCTGCCACAAATGATCTGAAAAATAATATTGGAAAGCTCATCATAAGTTTACCAGTCACTTTTAAGATCAGGTTGTTAAGAGGCTTTGTGTTGATCATTCAGTCAATTATTCAAGGATATAATGCTCCACTTAAGGCCAAGAGAAACTTTTAAAAATGATCATAACCCTAGACTTGGATCTGGGCCAGATTTTTCAGGCAACATATTGTGAAAATACCTTAAAAGATCAGCATCAGCCCATTTCTGAATGCAACTAAAGGTCTGTACTTAACAGCAAAATCAGTGTGACTTGAGTTTCACAGACATGGAAGAACACTTGTTCCTGGGTCAACCTGTCATATATTGAGGTCATATTCAAAAGCAGTCTTCCAGAAATCTCTGCAATCTCAGACAGGCTATCAGAGAGGCTTTCTATCACTTCATGAATTCCCTCCATAGAAATACTCTTTTTTTCAGCATCTAGAAAATAAATCTCTTCTCCAAATCTTGTTTTTAAAAATATGTTTGTATTGTAATGCCCTAAATGTGCATTTGATCTTGATTGTTTTGTAAATTTTTGAAAGAAGTATTTACATTATAAATATTTATTATTTATTTATGAATAGATAAATATTTGATTTATGTCACACTTTACAGCTATGAAAAATACTTAAGGGACAGCACAAAACTTAATAAAAGCAGTATATAACATTAAAAACACACATTAAAATTAACACTAAAATAGATACTATAATCAATTAACAACCTGGCAACGGAGATCCTTCTTTACAGATTTTTTTAATGTTGCAGGGGGGTATATGCAATTCCCAAGGAGGTACATTTCACATCCTGGGAGCAATGCAGAAGCAAGCAGTGGGAGTCTTTAATTGCTAGACAGGTTTGCAACAGGAGAGGTAATCCATTGTATAATCAAATGCTAACATTTAAAGATTAAGGCCAACACTTTAAATAAGCAAATTTCAACCAGTGCAGGCTATTTTGTACAGAGCATATTGTATGCTTCCTGTATATTCCAACAGTTAACAGCCTAGCTGCCACATTTTGCATCAGCTATAACTGCTGGATATTTTTCAAGGATAGCCCAAAGTAGAGCACATGGCAGGAGGTAACCAGGTATGGGTAACTGTTGTCAAAGCCAACTGGAAGGGTCGCAGCTGGTGCTGTAGACATAAAAGATCCTCCTTGCTACAGCTGCCATCTGAAAGTTCAGTGGCAGCTGAGGATCAAGGACACTCCATACTGCAGACCTGCCCTTTCAATGAATATAATCCCACCCCAAACAGGTGAAATCTTAATCTATAAATCCATTTTCCTATTTACAACAGCGTATTTGCTTTGTCTGGATTTTATTTCTTCATCCAGCCCATTATTGAAATTAGACAGCGTTTTTATGGCAGTTATTGCTTCCTTGGTATTGGATGGCAAGGAGTAATAGATGTGGGTTACATCTATTAGCATTCCAACAGATCTCCCCTAGTAGATGCATGTGGATGGTGAATAGAAAGAAAATCCTCTATGATGTCATGGATTAATGGCCTACTTCCCCAACATCATCTTCTAAGTCCAGGTCAACAAGTAAAACAAGAGCCAACAGTGTCTTCAAGGCCAATCCTGACAGGCAGTCCCAAAGGATATTGTGGTACTAACAGGGCCACCCTGCTGCCATCTAGTTTCCAGCACGGGATATGCATCCAGCAGACCAAATCAGTTTTAGTACTCTACTCCAAAAACCCAACTGAAATCCAGAAAAATCAGACATGTTTTGTGCTACAAGGCCACCATCTTCTTAAACTTTTTTTTTTAACAGAAATTGAGTATTTAAAACAAATGGATTGTTTGTAATTGAACAAATGCCCCAGAACAATATCCCTGACATTGTAGGAAGAGAGTCATTTTGGTCTATGCATCTGATAAAGTGAGTTGCATTTCACAAAAAGATATGCCTTCTAATAAAATTTGTTAGTCAGTAAAGGTGCAACAGATTCCTTCTGATTTTTTTGTCAAGAAAAGCTAGAGTTTCTTAAAAAAAAAAAAAAAAGCCTTTTCAATTGTCTCTTTTAGGCAGGGAGAACTCAATCTTCCTGCAAGGAAATATTGATCAACTCCGTTGGACATTGGTTTAGTTCTGTCCTACCCAATTATAAAGGGAGAAGGTCCAATAATGGTCAAATTATCTTTTTGAAAAACACCTTGGAAGCATTGCTTGAAAGGGGATATGATGTTCTAGGGTTTCAGACAAGGCCATGACTTCTAAAGATTACTTGGTGGGTTGCCCACTCTTTCAACTGAGTCCTCACACTTTTATCCAATCAATTTCAGAATACAGAGGATGTATGATATCTCAGAATCTACCCAGAATAGAAAATTGCAGTTCCTATGTTATGTATAAGGCAGAACAAGGAGAGCAGTATCTTTTATTAAGAAATAATAGTGGCTGAATTTAATAAATTACCTCTATAGCTGATATTCAGTTTCAGTAGCAACCTTTTAACCAATGACTCTATTTCCCTGACTCAGGGGTGAGGAATATATGCTCCTCCAGCCAGCATGATCAATGGGAACTGCAGTTCAACATTTTGAAGGTCCCATTTAGATCAGTCCTGTGTTAATTCCTTGTAACTTCTCTTTTAACTGTTAATCTTAACAGACTCACCCCTCTTATCTCTGAGACCCCGCCCATGTTCTTCTGTTTTCAAGAGTATATAAAGTATTTTGCTACTGTAAGGTTCACGGCTACCCAGAAAACTTGAAATCAATCAGCAGCACAAAATAAAAGACTTG